CTCTCTCTCTCTCTCTCTCTCTCTCTCTCTACAGTAAAAGGAGTAAGAGGAGAAATGTGGGTCTTTAGTTCAATAAAAGATGATGTAACAAGAGTAAAAAAATGTATTTCAAAAGATTATACAACGATAAAGCTTTTATACATTTGGTAATAATGTCTACTACTAAAAAATGCAGTTTCTTCTCCAGCATTCACGATCATTTAATTACTAATACAAGATATATAAGACAAATTTAAAAGCGCCTGTGGCCAAAAATATTCCCATTTTCTTTGGATATTAAACTTTATAATTTTAGCATCATAGAAAACGACTCTTCTCATTAGTAACTAAAGTGAGTATTGCACAGAAAGTAACAACCCTGATTCTCGCAGTCATTCACGTTTTCGCTTCCCTCAGACCAACTATGTATATGTCTTTGTATATATATGTATATATGCATACACACACACGCGCGCGCACACGCTTGTACACACACACACACACATATATATATATATATATATGTATATATATATTTTTTTTTATATATATATGTATATATGCATACACACACACGCGCGCCCACACGCTTGCACACACACACACACACACATATATACATACACACACATATACATACATACATACATACATACATACATACTCGTATAACTTCGTATAATATATGCTATACGAAGTTATTACGAGAGAGAGAGGAAGAGAGAGAGAGAAAGGAAGAGAGAGAGAGAAAGGAAGAGAGAGAGAGAGAGACAGAGAGAGAGCGAGAGAGAGAGAGAGAGAAGAAGAGAGAGAGAGAGAGACGTTATAACTTCGTATAGCATACATTATACGAAGTTATACGAAAATTGATGTGTATATATGTATATGTATATACATACATACATACATACTCGTATTACTTCGTATAATGTATGCTATACGAAGTTATTACGCTTTAGTTACTAATGAGAAGAGTCGTTTTCTATGATGCTAAAATTATAAAGTTTAATATCCAAAGAAAATGGGAATATTTTTGGCCACAGGCGCTTTTAAATTTGTCTTATATATCTTGTATTAGTAATTAAATGATCGTGAATGCTGGAGAAGAAACTGCATTTTTTAGTAGTAGACATTATTACCAAATGTATAAAAGCTTTATCGTTGTATAATCTTTTGAAATACATTTTTTTACTCTTGTTACATCATCTTTTATTGAACTAAAGACCCACTTTTCTCCTCTTACTCCTTTTACTGTAGAGAGAGAGAGAGAGAAAGAGAGAGAGAGAGAGAGAGAAAAAGAGAGAGAGAGAGAGAAAGAAAGAGAGAGAGAGAGAGAAAAAGAGAGAGAGAGAGAGAGACAGAGAGAGAGCGAGAGAGAGAGAGAGAGGGGGAGAGAGAGAGAGAGACGTTATAACTTCGTATAGCATATATTATACGAAGTTATACGAAAATTGATGTGTATATATGTATATGCATATACATACATATATATATATATATATGTGTATATATATATATTTTTTTTTTATATATATATGTATATATATATTTTTTTTTTATATAGATATGTATGTATGTATGTATATGCATATACATATATACACATCAATTTAAAGTAATTGTTTGTACATAAACAGAACATTTGTACAAGGGCGTCCGCCCAGCCGTAGCGAGGCCCCGCCGGACCAGCCGCAGCCAGACCCGGAGAGCCATCGCCCGCGGACGCACGCCAGCGCCCCTCCCTGTACACTATTTACAGCACGGGTCGTCCTCCACAGGGAGTCCTCGTCCTCGTCGTCGTCGTCGTCATCCCGAGGGGGCTCAGGAGGGCGTGACGTGGCCCGAGATCGCCGAGTCGGGGGAGGTGGAGCAGGAGGCGAGGGAGAGGACGGAGGAGGAGGAGGGCGCCGACAGGGAGGGCGAGAGGAAGGACGAGACGGGCGAGCTGGACATGGTCGAGCACGAGGAGGACGACGAGAACTGGAAGGAGGAAGCGGAGGCGGACTGGGACGAGAGAGAGGCTGAGATGGAGAGCGAGGTGGAGGACGAGTAGAAGGAGGATACGGGGGAGGAGGACGAGGAGGAGTATGGGAAGCAGGAAGAGGAGGAGGAGGATCGAGGGGAGGACGGGGTAGAGGCCGACAGACCTCGGCGGGGCACCTCCTCCTCCTCCCCCTCGAGGCAGCACTGGAGGACGTGCTCGGCCCCGGACGTCATCGGCGCATGCGCACTCCGCGGCCTCAGCCTCTGACCCTGAAACTTCCTCCTGAAGGGTGACCTCCTCACGGCCTCGGCAGGGGGGGAGGTCGGGGTTTCTCTCGCTCGTCTGACTCCGCTTTTCGCAGAGGAGGAGGAAGAGGTGGTGGAGAGAGAGGAGGTTGACGAGGAGAAGGAGGAGGAAGAAAAGGAGGACGACGACGATGAGGGGGAAGAGGGAGGGTTGAGGGAGGTGACGCCGAGCTTGGGCTTCCTTAGCGCTGCCGAGGAGCTGGGGCTGGCGGACTCACTGGCCATCTGCGAGGTAGTCGTGACACCATTGTATTTAACTGATAGATTAAGTGATTAATTCTCAATATAAGTATATAGTACTATGTTGAGACGTGCACAAGCGAACTCACACCCACCTGATCCTCTGCTCTTCTCTGGTCGGGCGGCGCGGGCGGGGCGTGGTTGGGCCGATCCATGGGTCTGAAGGCGTGTCGTCTCCCTAACTTCCCCACCAAAGGAAGAGAAGGGCCTCCCCTTCTGCCCGTCCCTGGCTCGAGGGGCCGTTGTGAGGGTCTGAGATCTCTCTTTCTGTGCGTTTCTTGTATGATTTTTGAGGGCGTGGGGCACGAGGGAGACCTCTGGAGGCACCTTGCGGCAACCAGGTCGCCATGGGGCTTCGGCGTCGTCGCTCTGCGAGGCGAGTCGCTGTCGTCGTTCTCGAAGGCCGACGCCAGTCCCTCGTCCGGGTGCTCGCGTATCGGTTTCAGGGCGTAGGTGACCCTCCGCGTGGCTCCGACGTCGGCGCTGTTCAAGCACGATGTGAGAACTGGGGATTCCGATCGTTTTGCGGGGATCATCGGCGTCGATTCGTCAATGTCGATGAGAGGAGAGGAGCACTCGTCCGAGCTGACGCACTTCATTTCGTCCTCCACTTCTGTGATGGTCGGGAATTTCTGGCTTGATAGGGTATTCGAGGGGGAGTCTTTAGACAGGTAAGATATCAGCCTCGTGTCTCGCTCGAGGGCGACCTGAAGCATCTTACTGGTCTCTGGGACGAGAATCAGTCTGAATTCTACGTTCGACGGGGCCTTCGACCTCCTCCCGGGACTGCTTACGCCGGAGACGTCCACCTCGTCGGCGGTCCTCTCCTCGTGGCTCTCCTCACTGGGCAGTTTCGGAGACTCGACCCTGAGGGGCTTCCTGGGAGAGCCTCGATTTGGCGACCGGACGTCTGACTTGGTCCGCAGCAGCCTGGAGTTGGGCAGATGCCACGAAAAAGATTTGTTGCGGAAGTCCCAATCTGCGGCAGTCAGAGAAAACGCGGGGTACTGCTTGATTTCAGGGATAACTTTAACAATATCACTATCTTTCTCTTCTTCATTTTCGTCGTTTTCTTGATGTGATCTAATTGCAATCGGGTCGTCGTAGATGTGCGGGGTCTCGTGCCTGACGGCGGCGATGGCGACGATATCATAGCGTACAGGGGGCGGCTTCCACAGGTCGTTTCTTTGGTCGTCTTGGAGTCTTCCGCCTGTCAGGGGAAATGCAGGCGAGCAGAAGTAAGCGTGTTGAGACACAGGACCTGATTCCCTAAATGGTTTTATCATTGCAATTTTATTCTCATTATTAATATTGCGTTTACTATTTACACGTTTTCATTATCTTGTTATATTATTGGGATTATCATTTGATGAACATCAGTGATTTCATCAAATACTTTGCATTGTTATCACTATCTCTGTTTCATCATTGATATCATTATTAACAATGCCGTATTTGGCATGACTACTACTACAACTACTGTAACTACTACTACAACTGTTATCAACATTCGGTATAATGTTGATACTGCTATTAGTGTTTCTGTTAATATTCTTGTTATTGTTATTGGTGTTCTTGCAAATGTTATTGTTGTTGATGCTGAAGTTTATCTTGATGCTACTTTTGTTTTTAGTCATTTTTTAGTAAATAATTTCTACCTCTACTGTTACTATCATCATTATTGTTACTTTTTACATACTATTTTACACGCTGCCACACACTTTGTCACACACAATGGTAGTGTTAATATATTTTTATTCATGGTAGTGTATTAGCATATGTTAGATAACAGATGAAAAAAAGAGAGAGAGAGAAAGAGAGAGAGAGAGAGAAAGAGAAAGAGAGACAGACAGAGGGACAGACAGACAGACACGGACAGACAAGCAAACAGACGGAAACAACATGAACTACAGGCTCTTTCTAGCTTTCTAAGAACACGGCTCTCACTCTAAAAGAAATAATCAAAGATACAATGTACACTACCTGATGCATCTTACCCTTGAAATGAAGATAGATAATGATTCATAAACATGATGATTAAGATATGTACAGTTATGATGTTTTAATACAGTTGACAATGTCAGATGATATACAGATAATATGTATCAACACAACTGTAAATATGGACATCTGTTTACTTTATATTACACTGTAAGGATCATATGATTGTATACTCCTAATGTGCTGTAGGGCGGGATAGTGATCAGTGTTACGTCTGGTAAAGAGGGCGCAGTGTATTTATTCTTATGAAGAGGAGAGAGGGAGGGAGGGAGGGAGATAGGGAGGGAGAGGGAGAGGGAGAGGGAGAGGNAGAGAGAGAGACGGGAGAGGTAGGAAGGAGGGGGAAAGAGTAGAGAGAGGAGAGAGGGAGAGAGAGGAAGAGAGAGAGAGAGAAAGAGATGAGAGAATGAGAGAGATGATGAGAAGGAGAGAGAGAGAGAGAGAGAGAGAGAGAGAGGAGAGAGAGAGAGGAGAGGAGAGAGAGAGAGAGAGAGAGAGAGAGAGAGAGACGAGAGAGAGAGAGAGAGAGAGAGAGAGAGAGAGAGAGAGAGAGAGAGAGAGAGAGAGAGAGAGAGAGAGAGAGAGAGAGAGAGAGAGAGAGAAGAGAGAGAGAGAGAGAGAGAGAGAGAGAGAGAGAGAGAGAAAGAGAGAGAAAGAGAGGGAGAGAGAGAGAAGGGAGAGAGAGAGGGAGAGAGAGGGAGAAGAGGGAGAGGAGAGAGAGAGAGAGAGAGAGAGAGAGAGAGAGAGAGAGAGAGAGAGAGAGAGAGAGAGAGAGAGAGAGAGGAGAGAAGAGAGAGAGAGAGAGAGACGAGAGAGAGAGTGTGAGAGAGAGAGAGGAGAGAGAGAGAGAGAGAGAGAGAGCAGAGAGAGAGGAGAGAAGAGAGAGACGAGAGAGAGAGAGAGATGATGGAGGAGGAGAGGAGAGAGAGAGAGAGGAGGAGGGAGAGAAGGAGGAGAGGAGAGGACGAGAGTAGAGGGAGAGGGAGAGAGGAGAGAGGGAGCAGAGGGAGGAGAGAGAGGAGAAGAGGCAGAGGAGAGAGAGAGAGGAGAGGGAGAGAGAGGGAAAGAGAGGAGAGAGAGAGAGAGAGAGAGAGAGAGAGAGAGAGGAGAGAAGAGAGAAGAGAGAGAGAGAGAGAGAGAGAGAGAGAGAGAGAGAGAGAGAGAGAGGAATTACAAATTATCGCAGTCCCTCTTATTATGTCTCTGGCACTAAAGCACAATTCATAGAAAACGTCCAAAAATCATGCTATAAAGGGGAGACCAATGTAATATAGCCATAAGCAAAGGCGAAAAAATTAGGAAAAGAAGAGAAAAAAGGCATCACAAGAAGATGGGTAAAACAGAAGAAAAAGGAAATAAGAAACTAAGAGAGAGATAAGGCAATGAAAAAGGCAAAAATAAAGAGAGGAACAGCAGATACAGAGGTAGATTGGGGAAAGAGCAGAAGGATGAGACAGGATTAAAGAACATGGAATGAAATAAAGAACAGAAGAAATAGGGAGAGATGTGAAGAGATGAGAAGAAAAATTGAAAAGACAAAGACATTATATAACAGATAGTTGGTTACATGACACAAAGTAAACAGATTTTTAATAATGAATAGGAAGGGTAAAGCATACATTGGCCAAAAAAAGGGAACCAAGGTAGTTCAAAGGATAAAAATAGACAAAAGGAAATGTGGAATAGTCTTAAAGAAAGAAGAGGGTGAATAGACAACAAAGCCCGTGTCATACTAAAATTAGAGGCAAAGGAAAAGAAGGAAAAGGAAAGGAAGAAGGAATGAAGAAAGATAAAGGACAAGAAGAGAGGATATCTATGTATATATACATTTCACACAACAGAACTAGAGTGAACATTACATATTCCAGGCAGCATTGGGTTAATAAAACAAGAATATTTTCTTCTCTTTTCATGTATTGGAAATTACATTTCTATAAAATTACAAAAGGAAAATAGGTTGATACATACTTCAGGTTTTTTATAAAAAGAAAATCTCATCAACATGCGCACTCGGTCTTATGTAAAACTTTCATATATTCCCTGTTCCGACATACATCCAAACAAAGCATACACTAAAAACGCAAGAAAATCAGATAAAACTTATTTCCCTTTCTTAATTCTAAAATTATAAAAAGTGATACCATCTTCCTTTCCTCTTGTATATCAAACAAAAAACTTATAGTTATAGAGAAAATGAAAGTTTCTATAAATCAAACAAGAAACATTTAATTATAAAGAAAATGAAAGTTTCAATAAATTTTTGGATAACAATATTAATCTACCACTCAGACCACACACAGCAAAACATTTAGCATAATATTCTTGAGCTTATACGTCTCCGCGTATCCTCCTTACGAGGCGTATGTCCTTCGGATAGAGGGTGACTCGCTTCGCATGGATGCTGCACAAGTTAGCCATCTCCATGAGTGAGATGATGTAAGCTTCTGCAGCTTCCTGTAGTGCTTGTAGAGCCAAGCTCTGGATCCTATAAGAAAAATATAAAAACATTCTTTAATGTTATATCTGCTACAGCTAGGTTTGTAACTACAAACATATTCAAGACAGATAATACCTGGACAACATACTAGTTACACATTTTCACATACATCTAGTATGCTGGACTCCAATCTATCAAAAGTTAGTAGGCTTTAAAATGCTAAACATACATTCATAAAGTTAAAAAATAATCTAATAAAAAAAAAAAAAAAAAAACAAGAAACATAGTCAACCTCTCCCATACACCACAATTTCTACAGAACAATAATGCCTTTATACTTGAAGAATCCAGAATTTAAAGAGCTACAGATGCCATCCACTTGACAAAAACTACTCCAATCATAAAATAATGTCAGTGAAATCTACAGGCTGTGGCTGTGAGACTCTGAGACATCTCAGAAACTATTATTAACTAGTCACTTGTATTGCAGGCCTTGAACCTTTCCCTCTTGCATTTATTTTCAGTGCATCAATAGAACACATGCTGTCTTCTTTATCCTATAAATTCTCTAAATTACTGATTAAATAGCCAGATCATTTGAACACTTTTCAAACTGATCTCAGCTTCATCCTCTGAAAGACTGGTCAGATTCTTAATACCACTTCTTATTAATTTTCTTGTTTCTGAGTTCATGTAATTTTCTCCGCCAGCTTGCATTCTGAATTTACCATTTCATCTAACTTAAACTTGCTCTTCTGATTTAGATAATCCTCTCTGCTTAACTGAAGCAAGTTTTAGGACAGAGGACTCAGCAGCAGGGACATAAATTTTTGGTGTGTGTGTGTGTGTGGGTGGGGGCGGGCTCATTCCCCTCCCATTGTGAAAAAATACTACTTCCCTGGACAAAACTTTTTACTGGGCAGGGCAGATAAAACTTGCCAAATGTCAAAACAAAACTTTTTACAGCTTGGGCTGTTTCTCTCTATAAAAAACACGGTTAAATAGGTCATAAATATGGAAAGTTTGTCACTTGACTTAGTAAAATAATTGGCAAGGCAAATATGTTTTAACAATAATATCATGAAGTGATGTCCATTCTCAGCAGGATAACACTACCATAGTGATTCATCACTGTGTCACATGAAACTAAGTTCTGCATAATAAAACTGACATACATATTCATATTTTATTGTTACCCTAGAAAACCATTGTCTATAACAGCTGATTTTCAAATCCCTGGTCACAGTCTACCAAATCAGGCTCTTGTGACATAACAGAGGACAATAGTTTATAAATCTCACCCAAGTTTCTGAATGTGGTGTGGTTTGGAGACACCAAAATATTTACACACAAATTTAGCCTATCACCACAGTCTGTTACCAACCTAATTAGAATGCTTGTTCAAAAAAGTTTAGGAAAAAAAATTGAGTACTTCCAGCTGCTACTGATTGGAATCAGTGACAAACAAATAAATGGTAGCTACTATTCATAGCCAAGCAACCCAACAAGTTACAAATATGACTTAAGAGAGAAGCTTTACTCAGAGTTCTGTGGGATGGCTTAAAGGTACACTGAACTTGAGCATTAGTCTGTTGATGCCACAGGTATATCTGTCCATTCTGATTTAGTTTAATCAAATTTGATTACACATAAATGGCTCCCGAAGAACCTACCTACTAATGAGTCAAGTACTAGGCTTACCTGATCTCACCTATTTAATCCTTTAAATTTTTGAAAATAAGTCAAAACTTTTGTTGCTTTTATCTTTTCTAATAGCATTATAATGATGCTCATACTATGGATAATAATAATAACATTCAATCTAAATCTCAATAATGATGCGCAGGGCCCTGGTAAGCCCTACATTAATGATGATAACAAATGTTATAGAAACAAAAACTTTTTTTTTCTGAAAATTCAAAGAATAGGGAAACATGTCATATCAGATAATCTTGGTAACTGACTTGATATGCAAAATCATCTAAGTGTTCAATGATATTAATACAAAACCACAGTAAACAGTGTATTTACCCAGTGAGCTAATGCAAGAATCCTATGCCAGACCTGTGATCAGGGCGCACATTGCTTATTGCTAAAACCACTGACACGACTAACTGGCACTGCCTAGTCACTGTTGCATGCGTGACACAATAGACTCAGTCTTGAGCCGACAGACTCTTCTAAGAGCCCTTGTTCCATAGTCTTTTAAGTCATGGTGAGACAAGTAAGTTATACATTTTCTGAATTATATATTTGGGTGTTACTGGGACTTACATAAATTACATAAAACTCATTAAATTTAAGTAGAGTTTATGGAATAGCTTTAGTACCGTAAGCATTTGTTACAACTTTGTTATACACTACCGAGGATCTCCTACACAAAACAGATTATTCTAACACTATATGGAGTACCATAACCAGAATAAATACATACAAGGACCACTATACTACTATGCTGGCAATGAAATGCTTAAGTATGGGCATATATTGGTTTAAAGTGGCCTAAAAACAAACACATGTACTTGCATTCATACCACTTAAACCCCAAGACAAGGCATAACAAGAATACTAGTGCTCCCTGTGATAATGTTGAAAGAAAGTATATAACCATCATTTTGATACTCTAACTTCTAACAAACAAAGTCTACTACAGTCTTGATGAATGCATACGGACTGATATATTTAAAAAATCAAAGTAAATAAGATGAACCTTTCTAGTAGTATTTTTTTCTTCCTTTTCCATAGCTTTTCATGGAGCTTCAAAATTAGCAACCTTCTAAAATCTGACTGTCTTTGATTAAAAGTATTCTTACAACCCTTGCTTTTATCTAACCTACTCTGCAAAACACATAAACATATCACCCAAACATAAAACACACAAATCATTCTGGATTCTCCTAAAACACTCCAAATCCTACTTTTGGTAGCTAAATTAATGCAGCTTCGGCAATTCACCTTAGGCTAGGATGGAAGCTCTCTAGAATCTCACGAATCAGCCGAGAAAAGGGCAGCTTGGGCACTAGTGTATTACCTCCCTTCTGATAAAAGCGAATC